TGGACACAGGGAGAGGAACATCACATACTGGGGCCTGTCAGGGGGTGGGGGGCTAGGGGAGGGATAGCAGGGGATGGGGGGATAGGGGAGGGATAGCATTAGGAGAAATACTTAATGTACATGGCAGGGTGATGAATGTAGCATACCACCATGGCACATGTATGCCTATGTAACAAACCTGTGTGTTCTGCACACGTACCCCAGAACTTACAGTATAATAAAGAAAAAAGAAAAATTAAAAAAAATAAGAATTGCTGGGTTGAAGACTATATACTTTAGAAATGTTGATTGGTACTGCCAAATTGATTTATGAAATATTACATCAATTTACTCTCCTATCAGGTTGGTTGTTTTTCTTGTATTTTTTGGGGGGGAAGGAACAGTCTAATGGGTGAAATGTGGCATGCTGTGATTGCTTATTTATATTTCCCTGATCATTAGTAATGATCAACATCTTTTTACTTTTTATCAATTGTTTGTATTTCCTTATCTGTGAGTTGCCTGTTCATAATCTTTACTTATTTTTATACCAGGTTGTTAACTTTTTCTTAGTGGTTTCTAGGAACTTTTTATAAATTAGAGATATTAACCCTTTGTATAATTTATTGTTGCAAACATGGCCAATATTTACCTCCTGGATTACCTTTTAATGTTCACATTTATCTATTTTATGCTGTAAGGACTTAAATATATGAAAATATAATGTACTCACAGTTTCAAAAATTAGTACAAAATAAATAGGTCTTTATGTGACCCCCATACCTGTCTACCAAGCCACTTTTCCCATAGGTAACCATCAGTATTTGTTCTTGGAATTCCTTCCAGTATTTCTTTCTATAAATATAAGCAAATCAGAATCCCTACTTATGTTATCCTTTTCTGATCAAAAGCAGGTGAATACTGTCCTGCTCTATGCCTTGCATTTTTAACCCAACAGTATGTTTTGAAGATCTTTTCATTATTCATTCACAGAAAGCCTAATCGTTCTTTTTTCATAGCTGCATAATGTTCCTTTGTGAAAGTGTACTGTCATTCAATAAACATCAGACTTTTTTGCTTCTGTATCCTCTAAAAGAATATTGAAAGCTTTATGACCCTTCACACATTTAAGTGGACATATAAACATTTTTACTATGAGTTTAAATGATTGCAAATAATATATTTTCTAGCATAATAGGCTTTAAACATATCTTCTTCAAAATCTTGGAGCTAGGGATTTACATGCATTGGGAAAGGCAAATCTGGTTGTCAAAGCAAGTAGCCAAATCAGACATACTTACTTCCTGTTAGAGAAAGTCTAACGTATTTTTATAATTCAAGCAAGCATGTTAATTAGACACCCTCTGTGACAACCCCAGCTTCAGAATTCTAGGAAGAGCAGAGAGGAAGCTGTTAATAAATAGGTGTGGTCCTGAGACTAACCATGCTTTTTGCCTTCTAGATGAAAGAAGGCATGATCATTTTCAACATCTCTTTGGCAATCTCATCAGATGATGGGCCTTTACTTTGCTCTGTATGCACCAATGAGTCCCTGTTTCATTACCTATTACACTGTAACAAAACACCTCAGTTTATCATTAGAACATCAGTTTATCATTCTCATAATTATGGGGCTTACCAGGCAGTTCTTTTGCTCCATGTGGTGTCTGTTGGGGTGCTGGGATAGCTAGCAGCTCCAGGGTGGGTTTCTTCTCATGGCTGGGAGAGGGCTAGAACTAGCTGGGGGTCTTAACCAGCATCCATAGTTCTCGTCAACATGGCTTTTCCATGTGGCTTAGCCTTCTCACAACAGAGCAGCTTGATTCCCAGAACAGTTGTATCTATTATTGACTTCATTATTTTAAAATGTCTTTTAGAGAGTTAGGTGATACAGTCCAAGGGTCATAATTAAAAATGTGTAAGAAGATTTACAGTAAAAGGTAGTCCTTCTATTACTGTTGTTCAGCCTCCTGTTTTCCTTTGGTGATTTGTATATCCTGCACGTACTTTGATAAACGTGTATATAAGCCAATGTACTGAGTTTTGCATCTTGCTTGGGAAAACCATCCCACCCTAAGACTATAGAAATTTTTCTTCTTGAAGTTTTATAGTTTTTTGTCCCCCATGGATATCTTTAACTGGGCTTTACTGAGTGCATGATGTGAGGCCAGGATTGATGGACTTCTTGGGATGCCAAATTATTGCTGTTCACTATGTGGATGGTCCGTCAGAACTTCGTAGTTTCTCTTCTCCTCAGTGCTGAGAGTCAGCCATGTTTGTCCCAAGGTATAGTCAAAGCAGGTTTCTTAACTGAATCTCCGGTGGAACTTTCCAACCTGTGTCAGAAAGAGGAGATCAGATAAGGTAGGGCAGTTGGACATTTTTATTTCCCTAGTGAGGAAAGAAGAGTGTCACAGGAATTAGAGGAAATATAAGATCTAAGAATCTGTCCCCTCCTGAAGGACGGGTAGAGAAGCTTGGGGAAACTTAGAGCAGTGACTTGATTCTAACTCAGGTCCCATGAATTGAGAATTTCAACCTGATCTGAGCTTGTTTTTGTTGCAGGAGACTACACTAACCTTTTTTAAGTATCCGCTATGTATTAAGTACAGTGCTTTGCATTTTATATGCTGTTTTGTTTATCCTCATGAAAAGTTCAAGTTTGATGGGATTAGTCTTATCTTCATGTAAAAGATGAAGAAACTGAGATGTGGGAAGTTAAGTGATTTGCCCCAAGTTATTCAGTGAGCTAGAAAAAGAGTTAGAATATGAATCAGGTTGGTTTGATTCCAAAGCCTCAGCCCTTTCCCAATACCCCAAAGACTTGTAAATTAATGGTATAAAAGGTACAAAGAGGTTTATAGAATTTATGAGACTCAATTATTTTTAAGAACCATAAGCAGAGTTCATTTGTTGAAAAGCAAATTGATCTTTGCATATAGTTTTTTTTTTTCTTTTTGAAAATAAGAGCCAAGGAAGAGAGAATTCAAATTGGCTAGTATGCAGGTAATTTCATTATCCAGCTGGATGTGTATGCATGTGGGGAGCCAGGGCATTCAGGCGAGTCAGATATTCTGATTTAACAGTGAGTGGCCCTGTGGAACACACACAAATTATATACGCAAGGGACTGTAGAAAAAAAGGGACTACGTAGGAAAAAAAAGTTGAGCTCTAGATATACGCTAATGAAAATTTAGCATTTATTTGACAATACAGTGGGTTCCTTTTGATCTGGTTGAACTTCACATTCATTATTATCAATTCCAGTCCTCAGGGTACAGTACCTGATTTTACTGGGCAGACCTGCTGAGGGTGGCTATCTGGAAAAATTCCTGGAGGGGATGGAGAAGGGTGTGGGATGGAGAGAACAGGTAAAGGTTCACAGGAGGGCTCCGGTTGGGCTGAGGAGTGAGGCTTCAGCCGTGGTTACTGGCAACTTAGCTTCCTGACTCTCTGATGGTTAGCTCAGGGACTGAGAGATGTGAGGAACATTCAGGAGAAGCCATACCTCCTGAGGGGTGAACAGCCTCCTGTCAGTGATGAAGTAACACCACCTCCTTTGATATGCAGCTAAACAGTTCTTGGTGGAGATGGAGGAACTGTGTGACTGGCTGTGAGGGAAACAGAGAAGGTATTAGTGAACTCTGGATTGCAGAGGCCTCATGGGTCATTTCTGAGATGGTGTCTCCAAATATTTACCAGCTTTTTTTTTCCCCCCCAATAACTCCTTTGCAATGTAGGTGCCTTGGGGAAGGCAGCCAACCAGGTGTTCTTGCTGAGTAGGAAATGGGAGGTCAGGGCAGTGAGGGAGGGAGGATGAAAGGAGCACCAACTCCTGTGATTGACTTCAACAGGATGGCCTCACAGGGACATGCCTGTGAAGACCTGGGGAAGGGAGTCATGGACTCTGTTCCTTGACTCCAGATATCCACCCCCACCACTGCTTACCTAAGGCCTGAACTCCTCTGTGCCTTCCTTTGACGTAGGCTTTATTTATTTTCTTAGTAGTTTACAACAGCTTTATTGTTTTTCACAATGCTGTAGGTTGGTGGGCAGCTTTTCTGCTGGTTTCACTTGAATGTCTTCCTGTGGCTGTGTTCCACTGGTTGCCAGCTGGAGCTTGTGCCCAGCTAGGGCAGCTGCGATGACTGGGCCCTCTGTCTATGTAGTCTTTTATCCTCAAGAAGACTTGGTTGAGCTTCTTTACAACATGATAGTCTCAGGGATACAAAGAGGAAAAGGTGACAGCTGCAAGGTCTCCTGAGTTCTAGGTTCAGACATTTGTACAGTATCACTTATACCTCGTTTTATTTGTCAAAGCAAGTAGACTTCTAGTCCAGTTCTCTTTCCAATGTATCAGAGGGAAAAAGAACTAATCTCAAACACCTGAATTAAAATTCAAAGACAAAATCTTTGGCTAGAGCCACATGTTCTCACTTAGAAGTAGGAGCTAAACAATGGGACACATGGACATAAAGTTGAAAATAACAGACATAATAGACACTGGGGACTCAAAAAATGGAAGATGCATGGCAAGGGATGAAAAATTACCTATAAATACAATGTTCACTGTTTGGGTAATCTGAACATTAGAAGCCCAATTCCCAGCAGTACAAAATATACTCCTATGACAAACATACACATGTAACCCCTTGATCTAAAGAAAAGTCAAAGTTTAAAAAAGAGAAATAAATAAAATCTATCAACTAGCCTATTAGGCTTTATTTTTTGCCAAAATAGAAACATTTTCTGAGGGCCTAAATGTTAAGCTCGCATCATAAATACTTTGGATGGGATAAGGTTGTCAAGGTACTTTTCACAGGACTTACTGGAGAGGGGATGGGGCTCAGGATGGGTGAGCTTTATAAGGTCATGAAAGAGGAGTGGGGTCTGGCCCTTGGGTGGGCAGTGGCAGTGGCGGGTGTTGGGGTGGCATACTGTATTAGAGATTCAGTGTAACTTGGGGTTTTATTGACTTCTGGGGGAACTAGAAGCCCTCAGAGAAGGGGTAAGGAGGGATCAGGTTTTTACCACCTAACAAGGTGGTTTAGAGCCCAGGGCAGTGAAAGGTTGTCTTCCATGAGCTGGGCATGCCTTGGCCAAGGCAGAGTTAAATATCTCAGCAGAGGTTGGAGGTGAGCAAGATGAAAGCTACACAAAAGCTGAGGCAAGGTAGAATAATTAGCATCTGTCTTTCCCTCCACCTGGCCTGATATTTGAGGTGACATTTAAAGCCATTGTACAGATGTGGAGTGGAACTGTGACCGAATGAAGGCTTTCTGGAGCCTGGGGAGGCTTTCTCAGTCTCCTGGCTGATAGCTTCTCACCCCTCCATGTGGGATACTCTACTGGGCCTTGAGAGGAGAGAGCCCCCTCTGCCTTCCAGGTGAGCCTAGTCTAATGGGGGGCTCAGAATCTCCCTCCCTTTTGCACTTTAAGGGTGTTGAGTGAGGTGGGGTACACATTAGAATTCAGGATAGTGACCAAAGCTGGTGCTGAGGGTAGGAGAGGAGAGCAGAGACTGAAGTGGATGGATCACCATTGCAAAATTCTCTGGGGAGCTTGTTAAAAATGCAGGCATCTGGGAGTGAGACTTCATTATCTGCATGGATAACCAACCCTCTAAGGTGATTCTGCCCATTAAACTTTGAGAACCTCTGAGATAGAGAATGTGTGAGGTTAGCTGGAAACAGCCTCTTGGGAGAGGTGGACTTGAATTTCAGTGTCTAGTTGATACTTTCTTATTGTAGATACGGTCCTTGGCTGTGGACCTAAGAGGCCCGTTCACCTGGGGACACTAAGCTTTCATGGGAGAGACTGGCAGGGGTTCAACCCACCCTTGAAATGACTTCCCTGAGAATGTATTGCCACGGGCTCCACTCTACCACTTGGGCGCTAATCGCCAAGGGGACAGAAGCGGTGTGGGAGATGGCTGAGGATGCTGTCTGCTGGAGTGTTTGATTCATGTTACAACTGAAGCACAGCTTGCAGGGCAAAATGGCAGCCAAGTGGAGCCCACTTCCTGGGCAGGGTGGGGAGATTTGTATGTCTGTGGATGGTCTTCACCGTGGTTTGCAGACACCAGCAACTATGATACTTCTTGTGTTGCCTTCACTCGCCAGATAGGTCAATGTGTCTGAGGAGCTGGCCAGTGCTGCTGAGGGAACAGCAGTCATTGTTGTCCCAGGAGATGAGTGGGAAAGATTTTGGGATAGGGTTGGATCTCTCTTCCCTCTGTGCTGCTTGCCTTCTGCTCCGTACACTTGTGCTGGCTTTATCTGATTGGGAACACAGTGTTTTCAAGTTGGGGCGGGTGAAAAGAGGGAGAAAGAACAGTGCCAGGGAAAGAAGAAGGAACGTCAAAGAGAAAGGAACACATCCATGTTATAATATCAAGTAAATGCTGAACATCCAGATGGGCATCAGCCCTCTGGAGTGGATGCGCTGTTGCTGGCCTGGTGACATGGGCTGTTGCTGGCCTGGTAACACAGCCTGTTGTTCCTGGAAAACATGTCTCTGTAGCCATCTGGGTGGGCTGGAGGAAACATGCCAATGGGAATAGCTGTGCTTGCTTTGACCATGATGAAAGAAGGAGCCACTGTGGAAGCATTGTATAAGACAAAACAAAAACAACAACAAAAACCTCCTAATAAGGCTGTGTCCTGGCCAATATCCTTTCTAATTGCACTACAGTTAAATGGCAATGCTGACAGTCTCTTGGAACATTTTATTCAACTTCTGGAGGGTCTGCATTTCAAGTAAGACTTATGAGGCTCTGTGGGAGTTGGAGAAATGAGCAGTGGTGGGCTGGGGAGCTCCAGGGAGCCCAGCTTGATGGGTTGAAGCCAATCTTGAGTAAAACTCCAGGCTAAATGGGTTCACCTTGGGGCTGACCTGATGGGTATTGCTTATGTTCTTAGGTTCACTGTTTGCAGGGGAAGTGCTCACACCCATGTTATTCTTGATAGTCTTTATTCCCTTTTGCTCTGCAAATGAGACAGTGTGGAATGTTTTGCCCTTGATTACTGGAGGGAGGGAAACAGGACCAGCTTCTTTCTCCAGGCCCAATTATGAGACTTGTAGCACTAGCACCATTAGAGCACTCTTTGGGACTTTCTGCCTCACAGTGAGAGACGCTCTTCCCTGCCCCTCTCTGTCTAGGTCTCCTGCCACTGTGGGAGCCTCCCTTTCAGATTTCTTCCAAGTTGTGTTAGAAAAAGCCTTTTTGGCATTCTTATTTGGAGATGCACTCTCTCTGCAGTTATAAGCCAGGGGCCAAAGAAAAAGAGGAAAGGCCCTTAGTTAATAAGTGGCCACATTTGGACCCTCCACTCAACCTGTGCCCATGGCATATCAGTGCTGCCCTGGAGGGTCCTCCCTCAGGATTCCTGTTAGGAAACAGCTGTATTTTCCCAGGTCCTGCCCTACTGTGAGGGCTTCCATGTCTCAGTGAAACATGTCACAATTTCCCAGGGAATTTCTTAGAGCCCCAGAAACTCTCAGGGAGGAGACAGATGGGCACCCACGAGTTACGTGACCTTAAATGTTATTTAATCTTTTGGAACATGGGTTTTCTCTTCTGTATACTGGAGAAAGTGATTCCCATCCACAGATCTTGCAGGGCACACAGGAGATGATAGTTGTGAAAGTACTTTGTGAACAAAAAAGTACTGGTCACACTCAATGGATTCTTGTTATTTGTGAAGGGAGAAACACCGGGTTACTTCTCTCTGGAGGGAAGAGGAGGGGTTTCCATTCTTGTGTTAACTATACACTGGAGTCTTGTCCATTTAAGGTAATAAGAAAATAACGCTAACAGAGCCTGAGACGTAGCTTCTGTGGTGGGGCTGTCTCTACTCAGACCCAATGCTGCCCTTTAAAAAGAAACCACAAGGCAGTTGGCAGGCAGGGGCAGGTGGTGGAGGTTGTGGCTCTGCTCGCTTTCTCCCTCTCCCTCCTAGCTCCTACCCGCTGGATGTGCGTCCTCCCCAATCTGAGTTCTTCAGAAACCTGCAGCCTGTCTCATGTTGGAGGCATAAGTTCCAAGGAAGAGCTGCCGCTGAGGGAGACATGCCTTACCAGCTGCCTGATGGAGGCTAGGAGGCCTGAGAGACCACCATTTCTGTTAGGAGATTGGGGAGGCATTTCTGGTGTGGCCTAGGCTGCACAGAGCTGTGATGAATGTGCAGGTGGCTGTTGAGTAGTTTTTAGGCTTGGAGAACAAGGTCGTCCTAGACCTGGGGACTCCTCAGGTTTCATTTCTGTGAACAGCACTTCCAGTCACATGGGTCACAGACTGGCCCACTGTAAGAGGGGCTGTGAGCAGGGTAAGGACTGGACACCCTGTCATCCCCCAAAGCCCCTTAGACAATGCCCCCAGGCTGAGGTCTCTGCAGCTTACTCTTCTCCTTTCCCTGAAAACAACAGACTCAGACTCCCTTGCATGTTCATTTGTCCAGTTAGTAACCACTTGAGTAATTGCAAAGTTCAGGGTTCTTTGAGGGACACAAAGATGATTAAAAAGCAGATCCTACCTTCATGGAGTTTATGGGCAAGTAAGGGAGAAGAGTTATATACAAATGAGAAGTGGAATGAAAAAATAAAATATAAAGCAAGATCAGGAAGTCTGCCTCGATTCTGTGGCATTTTGAGTTATTTGTTGGAAAAATCAGGAGGATTTGGCCATGATGAGGTGAGAGAGTGGGGAGAGCATACTACTGGCAGGAAGGGCAGGAGCAAAGGCCTGGCAATAGAAAATCATGGGATGTATGAACATATGGGGAACTGAGAGTCTGGCAAGAGGGAGAGGGGTTGAGAGGTAAGGGAGAACCTTCTATCTGCCACTATCTACCAGGTGCAACACCAGAAACATTATATTCTTATTTTGCTTTGAGGCTTACAAATACTGTTCTCTCTGGTTTACTGAGGAGAAAGCTGAGGCACAGGGAACTGAATAACTTGATTCAGGCCAGGCAAGTATTAAGTGGCAACCAGGATTTGCTCCTGTGACTGTGTGACTTTAGAGCCCATGCTGTCTCTACTGTAACAGAGGTTCCATGAAGGAACATAGGAAAAAAGGATCTGTGGCATTTTTCTGGTCATGTGGGCCCTACAGTCTCGGGCAAGGAGAGAGCCCTTGGACCGACAGTGAGGCAGTAAGGCTCCCAGGCTTCGGGACTGGCCTCAAAGTCCAAAATGGCTGAGCTTTTGGCTTCCCATCCCACATTCTATTGGAGGAGCCACTGGCCTCTGGTGTGGGAATCATGGAAGCCAGAATGGCAGGAGATACTGGAATAAAATTTAAGAGATGGACTTGATTGTGGATTTTCATTCTTAAGACCACTGCAAACCTAGCGTCTTTGCGAAAGCCCTTCCTGACTCCCTCCCACGCATCTCCGACCTCCCCTTGAGTCCAGGCAGGCTCGGTCTGCACACGGCGTTGTTCTGCACTTGTTCCTTTGTTGCTGTGAAACCGGCTCCCGGCACAGTCAGCCTCTGTGTGGGAGGACTTGTAGCTGTCTTTGCAGGCAGGCATTTGCTTAGAGCAGGCTGTGTGCTAGCCCAGCGTCAAGTGATTCCGGCCTCCACGAGTCCGCGGTGGTGGGATGAGGCTCTGCCGAGGGGACTGGCTGTGAAGGATGAGTTCAGGGTGGGATGACGGACCGCTTCTGGGACCAGTGGTATCTCTGGTATCTCCGCTTGCTCCGGCTGCTGGATCGAGGTATCCTGAGTGTGTGTATGCTTGTGTGAAAGAGAGACTGAGAGAGATGGATACACACAGAGACGTAAAGAGACATGCAGAAAGACACAACAGAGAGGGGAGGGGAGAGCCAAGAAGAGAGAGAAGGAATGAAACAGAGGCAAGTAGCAAACCCATGGAAAGTAAAGAAAGACTATTTTTCTGGGGACATGTATGACCCAGCTGGGAATTGGGAGCACAGGGTTCATTTGGGGCAGCATCTGTATAAGAGGATCTCATTTCTTGATGGGTTTCTCATCAAGCTCAGTACTGTAGTCAAGTACAAGTTAAGCCCATTCTTGCAGGGCTTTTGATAGAACTCTCTAAGAAGCAATGCAGACGGAGAAATGGTTCCTGCAGCCAGAAGCTGGGGGCAAACAGACTCAGGCTCAAGTCTCAGCTCTGCCACTGACTTTAGTCTGATTTACGTGATTTTTCTGAGCTTGTTTACCCATCTGTAAAATGGGCATGGTAAAACCTATGTGCTAGGGTTGCTCTGGAGCTATTGTTTAATTCATACATGTAAAATATATAGCATCATGTCTGGTGCACACAATAGGTGCTTAGTAAATGCTGAGTTCCTCCCTGCGCACCTCTTAGCATCATGGAACTATTAACACCCACCTATCCTAAGGTTACTTCCTTTGTTGATTATCTGTAGAAAGAGCTGGTATAGAATTTGCAGTTAGTGGAAAGAAAAGAGAAAATCAGTTTTATCCCTCAGGTTAATCTGACCTTAATACATTTTACCATCAGGTATTAATGCAATTAAAGTCTCCTGATAATGTGACACAAATCCAGATGTTCTGTGAACTGTTTTGGTAATTGATTTTTTAAAATGTTGAATGTTATTTTAAAAAGCTTTGGCTTCTTTAAGAGGTTTTGGCAAGAATGAGATCAAACTCCTGATGGGAAAGATGGCCCTGGGGAAGCCTTGCTACACAGACCAAGGTGAATTCATCTCTATCAGGAATAGTCTTAGTGTGCTGGGAGATCAATACCAGGTGAAAGCAGAGTGCTGCAAAGAGCAGGTGAACCACGGCCCTTATCAGGGGAGAAATCAAAGATGGAGGAAACCAAACCAGCACACACTAAAAGCAGTTTCTCACTAGCACGGAGAAACAGGCCAGTGGGAGCCCAGACTTGAGATGAGGGTGTTAAGAAGGGAACCAGAACTTCATACTGTTGACGATCACGGACTGGGAGAAGGGAGAAGAGACCACCAGGTGTAAATCCTCCTTATCTGTGTGACCTCAGGCAAATTGCTTTACCTCTCTGTACCTGCTTTCCTTCCTTTGTTTAAAAAAAAAAGGGGGGGCGGTGATGATCACTGGGGCCTGTTGTGGGGGGTGGGAGAGCTAGGGGAGGGATAGCAGGGGGTGGGGGGATTGGGGAGGGATAATATTAGGACAAATACCTAATGTAGATGATGGGAGATGGATGCAGCAAACCACCATGGCATGTGTATACCTATGTAACAATCCTGTGTGATCTGCACATTTACCCCAGAAATTAAAGTATAATAAGAAAAAAGGAGGTGATGAGGATAATAGTAGTACCAATTCAGAGGGTTGCTGTAAGGGCTCAGTGAGAAAATATAAGTGAAATACTTATCCCAGTGTATGGCACAAACAAAGTACTCTTTAAATGGTAGATTTCATTACCAAGACAGTTAATTTTCACTCTCCAACAAACATCCCGGGAAAGACAGGAACAGGTGGTATGTAATAACCAGGAACTAAGAAAAGTGCAATTAAGAATGGTTAGGGGCTTAGAGACAATTTATACTTACATGAATTAAAACAAGATTCACACGACCATATGATGCTAATTATAAGAAGAAACTAGATGTTAATGTATAAGCTATAATACTACAAATTTATTTTTATCTTTTAGAAATGCTTGAATTCATGAATCAAACTTAGGCTCAAGTTTTAGCTCCATTGCCTTCTAAGTGCCCTTGAATAAATGGCTAATGGTAAGGACTTAAAAAATAAAGGGTATTGTTTTCTAGGGCTATACTTAACCAACCCTCAGTTTGTAAATTTTAAAAATTGGAATATTAATAATAATACCCATGTCATAGAATTTGGGGGAAATTTATGGTGTTAGTGTATATATAGCATTAGTCATTTTGGAAATGCCAGGTTGATGAATTTATGGGCTGATAGATTAACCTGTCCCCTTGGATAGCAAAACTGGTTGCAAGAATTATATGGTCTTCCATGCATGTTTGATTACCACATATGGCTGTAATTTGAAAGTTTATGTGTCTTTCAATCTATAGTGTTTTCCTTAATGTGAAGTTTTAGATTAGTAGCTCTTGATTAAGTAGGGTGTCTGATTTCCAGGTGTTTGGAGGTTGGGTGTTGATTATGTTGCCCAGTTCTGGTTAATTGGTATTAAAGTATTAAACATGTGTGCATACCCACATCCATATTCAAAAAGAATTTTCAGATATAGCAACTGTCTTCTCATAACGAATGTTACCTAACATTGAATAGAAAATGGCATGCTTTACAGTGGGGTGTTAGGCTGAGCTAGCTCATGAAAGATGCTCAATAAATATTTGTTGAAGGAATGAATGAATAAATGACAAAAAGATGAACCTGCCTTTCTGGGCAGTGAACAGAATTTCCTTAGATTTGATCGTTCTTAAGTGTAACAGAATTAACTGCTTCGATCTGTTTTAAGATTTTATATCATTTTGCCCTCCCTTATCATTGTCGGGCCTTATGTCATCTTGAAAGTAACAGGCCTCAAAAAAGTAAGGAGGAGATAGGAAATGAGAAGTGGGAACTGATGAGTTTAGCCCAGGAAATTGAAATAATCGATGAGCTGTGTGCTGGCCTGAGTCACTCACTTGGCTGTGACAGGAGGATAAGTAAATCTGTGATCTGACACACCTAGGAAAAGGGAGGAAACATTAGAACACATCATGGAGCTGAAATAAACTTTACAAAGAAATAACAGCGTAGGCTTGATGATTGCAGACTAATCTTTTGTCTCCCCTATCATTGTTCAGCTAAGGGTAAGGATTTAAAAAATAAAGGGTATTGTTTTCTAGAGCTATACTTAACTATATGCAAGAATTTATATGACAGTGTACTACCAGCTTGTTCAGAAATTATTTTGATGATTTATTCTCCTTAATAACAGATGCTGTTTTTATGGTTGTTTGTTACTGGGCGTTTGTCAATTCTTCTGATTGTATTCTGTGCTTATAGACGTTGACTAAGGAGCCGGTTGCTATGGTGGGGACTGTCTATCAAAATAAAAGAGCTCATAGAGATAAGAAGCATGAGTTGTATATAAAAGAAGAGAAGTCATATTGCTTTTTGTTGTTGAGTTTTTGGTGTATTCATGGAGACCTGCCAAGTAAGGTCGACTTTTACATTCCTTTGTTTATATTAATATTGTTTTTGATAATGAAAGGGGAAGAATGAAAGACTGCTGCTCTTTGTTCATAGAGCATCAGGCAGTGTTTCCCAGCATGTGGGAATGTCCATCACTAGTAGTACATGAGATGATTTTACATGATTTACAGATGTTGCTTGAGCTTCTCTTGCTGGTCACTGCCTGGCATAGTCCAGAAGACAATCTGTTTTACCTGACATCTGTTTCTGTTGGGCTGTTCACCCCTGCCCCACCCATTCGCTGTGGGCCCTCCTTAATCCCACCCATTCCTCAGCTCTCCCTTCATTCCCACCTCTAGTCTCCCTCTTCCCCTTCCAGCATCGCTGCCTGGGCCTCACCTTTGGCCCTGCCTTAGTTTCTTGGCCCCAGATGTCTCCAGCCCCCCCGCCTTTTTTTTTTTTTTACAAATATGTTTTCCAAATAAGTAAGTTTAAAAAAGAGTCAACTTAAAACAATATCAAAAAAACAACAGTGTAGGAGGTATGTGAATGTGGTTTAAATGGTGATAGAAGTACAAAAATTACTGATGTTTGTGATTTTGTCAACATCTCACATAAGTGATATGTTGTACTTAAGTGATATGCTGAATTAGGCTGCTAATTTCTGATTGATGCTTTTAAAAACTGACACATAATAATTGTACATATTTATGGGTACAGGTGATATTTTGTTACATCCATACAAGTGTAATGATCAAATCAGGGTATTTAGGCTATTCATCACCTCAAGTATTTATTATTTATGTTGGGAACATTTCAATTTTTCTCTTCTTGCCATTATGAACTATACAATATAATATTGTTAATTATTATAACCCCACTGTGCTATCAAACCCTAGAACTTACTCTTTCTGTCTGTGTGTACAAGCCTGTATGTTTGTACCCATTCACCAACGTATCATTATACTGTTTACACCATAAGATGAAATTTTTTAGCTTCCACATATGAGTGAGGACATGTAATATTTGTCTTTCTGTACCTGGCTTATTTCACTTAACATAATGACCTTCAGTTCCAGCTATGTTGCTGTAAATGACAAGATTTCCTTCTTTTTAATGGCTGAGGAGTATTTCATTGTGTATATTCAACACATTTTCTTTATCCATTCACCCACTGATGGACACTTAGGTTGATTCCCTATCTTGGCTATTGTGAATGTGCTGCAGTAAACATGAGGATACAGGTATCCCCTGATATACTGAGTGATCTCTTTTCGTTTGGATAAGTACCCAGTGGTGGGATTGCTGGATTGTATAAGAGTTCTGTTTTTAGTTTTTATGAGAAACCTCCATACTGTTTTCCATAACAACTGTATTAATTTACATTCTCACCAAGAGTGTATATGAATTCCTTTTTCTCCATATCCTCACCAGCATCTGTTTATTGTTTTCTTTTTGATAATAGCCATTGTAATTGGGGTAAGATGATATCTCATTGTGGTTTTGATAGCATTTACCTGATGATTAATAATTTTGAGCATTTAAACAATATACCTGTTGGCAATTTGTGTGTATTCTTTTGAGGAAAGCCTATTTGGGCCCCGGGCAGCGGCTCACGCCTGTAAT